CCCGCCTACTATCCTCGGAAAGGTAAAATGATTGGCTAGAATCCAAAGTGTATGACATCTCAGGAAAAAACAGCACCGAAATGTGCGCTGCTTTTCGGTCTGGTTACTACCGTTTATGTCAGAACCGGTGCCATCGTGGCACCGGATACCGGTACCCATCCCTAGATGTGATGCTCCAGCCAAAACAGAATAGAATAATCCTTTAATTGTCCCACAAGGGGAAATTTGGGTGTAACAGCAGCAAGAAAGACACATATACAAAGAAACAGTACACAAGACACAGAACAGAAACATACACAATTTTTACATATTGTGTATGTAAAAGTAACAAGTAATAATAATAACAAATAATAAGTAATAACAAGTAATAATTAAAGGATTCTTGTTGGACACAGCTATGATAGGCTGGTGGTGTAAAACTGTCAAACTACCATTTTTTTTGTCCTGAGTGACACTAAGTTTCTTCTTCTTCTTTTTTAAACGTATTTATTTATTTATTTTGAGGCAGAAAATGATGCCACCACAAAAATGCCAGAAATTTAAAGTCCTGGTGAAGCCACTTGAGCCTGGCTTTAAAAGTGACCCATTCTTCACAGCTAATAGTGGCAAAAACAGCACCGACTGACCAGAAAAAATGTTTGTAAGCGCCGATAACTTGATGTGGTGTGGACACATATTGACAGCTGAGATAAGCAGCCGGAGTTGTTTGTCCTACAGTGATCAGCGTAGTAAAACAGTAAAATAAATGCTCTGCCTGAAAGACTTTACTTGATACAGAATATAGTGAAAAAACGTTCCGGAATCCGGCTCCAGTGATATTTTCTGCGTCTTGCATGTTTTGCTGTGAAATGACAGCAACACCAAAGTTGCTCCATCCCATGAAAGCTTTTGACAGGTGTCAAATGATGTGGCTTACACCCATCTGCCACGCAACTTTTCTTTGAAAGTCAACTCTTTTTTTCTCCCCCAAACTTTCCAAATGTCTTTTTGAGCCACTTCAGGGGCTTTTCACTTGTGCCCTTATGTCTGTCTTTCATTCCACCAGCTGTTAGTTTTCACACAGTTTATTCAAGATTCTTGATCTTCCCCACCCACCTCACTCATTTCTTTTCTTTGTAGTTCAGGAGTTTTTCCACGACTGTGAGTTCCCATCTCGCTGTAACTAGAAGTTGATAGAACAATCAACCAGAAAAAACAACTGCATGACGTTCATACCTCTATTTTGACGAACATCTCTTGTTTATGTTTGGGCTTCTGTGTCCGCGCAGTTAAAGCCGCAATGTGGAAGTGCCTGACATAAGAAGCTTTGGCCAGACTGCTGAAGTAGCACATTGCACTGTCAGCAGTGCAGACTACTCTACATCTAAATGAAATTGTAAACTGTTTTCCTCAAGTTTTATTCATAGACTTTTGCTCCAGTCACAGTGGTCAGCAAGATTCAGTGTCGACATGAAAGCTGATTAACGGCACAAACAAATAGGGTTTTCTTTTCATTATGGAATCTTTATCCTACTCCTATTTTGAAGTATGCTCATGATTTCTGCCTGGTCTTCTTTTAATAACTGCCTTTTATTTCTTTCCTTGTGTCCCTTCTAACCACAGTTTCGCTTATATACCAACTGCTTTATTTTTTTAAGTCTCTTCTCCTGTCCAATATGAAATGAAATACCTGTTTGAGAAGCTAAGTAAGCAATTTGAATATCAAAGAGCGTGTGTGCCTGTGTACATCTGCTCACTTCTGCATTTTCTCATCATTTCCTCATCATTTCTCCCTTCATCTCCCCAGGTGGTGTCTATGGGTCTGTATTTGGGGGAAACTGCCTATCTGAGAAGCAGCTGGAACATTCTAGATGGTTTCTTGGTCTTCGTGTCTCTGATTGACATCGTAGTGTCCATGGCGGGTGGGGCTAAGATCCTCGGGGTTCTCCGTGTGCTCAGGTTGCTCAGGACACTCCGTCCTCTCAGGTTTGAAGGACTTTCAGTCATTTGTTCACATTTCCCCTCTGCATGCCCCATCAAGATGGTTTCTAAAAAGGAAA